TTTTTAAAAACTTTTCAGGGGTGCCTGGGTGGCTCAGTGGGTTAAAGCCTCTGCCTTCGGCTCAGGTCATGATCCCAGGGTCCTGGGATAGAGCCCCACATTGGGCTCTCTGCTCAGCAAGGAGCCTTCTTCCCCCTCTCTCTCTGCCTGTCCCTCTGCCTACTTGTGATCCCTGTCAAATAAATAAATAAAATCTTAAAAAAAAAAATTACCCAACTTGTATTACTGACGACATCAGAAATTAGATGCTGGCTTTATTGTTATTTACCAATAAAACCCACGTGAACTTTACAAATAGCCTTTAAATGCTCAGAGAAATTACACACATAATGTACAGCACCGTCTTCATGCTAAATGTTGAGGGAAATACCTATATATCCATTTGTCCAACCTTCAGACACTTCGGCTCTTTCCATGTCTTGGCTGTTGTGAATAATGCTGCAGGACATCTGGGGTAAGCATCTGTTTGGGGCCGTGATGTCCTTTCCTTCAGCTGCATACCCAGCAGTGGGATGACTGGATCATGGGGCAGTTCTATTTTTAAGTTTTTAGGAACCTCCATCCTGTTTTGCATAGTGGCTACACCAATTTACATTCCCACCAACAGCGCACAAGGGTTCCTTTGGCAAGGAGCTCCTTTTTAATTTAAAAGCTTTACAACGGCATCACGAAGATAGAATGGTCCATTATTTGCTTCACCTTTTTACAGTGAATATAATGATCTTTAAGTGAGGCAATTAAAGCCCCACCGAGAGAAGGCCTGGCTCATTCTGAGATTGAGACAGGGCAAACCAGCCATGGAAGTGGAAAGACCCGAATCCCACAACGCTCACGTGAGCAAAACAGGACCTTTCGGCCTCAGAAGATCCTCTCCTACAGCACTGTATTTTGTCCTTCAAATAAACTGGTTTTGAATTTTTCAATATGAAAAACACAAGCACTGCCCAGTACCAGACACCAAGAATCACCATAAGCAATACACCAAATCAAAGAAATTAGAGGAATAAATATTGTAATTTCACAACTCCGTGATGAAGAGAGAACAGAATACAATTATGCAGGAGAAACTGCAGGAACTCAGCTGTCCGAAAGAATGAAAACTTACCATTGGCAGTGACATGGATGGAGCTAGAGAGGATTATGTTAAGTGAAATAAGGCAATCAGAGAAAAACGGGTATCCTGATTTCACTCAAATGTGGGATTTAAGAAACAAAATAGATGAACATGGGAAGGGGAATTTAAAAAAAGAAAGAGGGAGGCAAACCATAAGAGACTTGTAACTATGGAGTTAAGGGAGGTGGGTGGGGGATGGGCTAGATGGGTGATGGGTCTCTAGGGCACTAGTTTTTTTTTTTGTTTTTTTTTTAAAGATTTTTTTTTTTATTTATTTGTCAGAGAGGGAGAGAGAGCGAGCACAGGCAGACAGAATGGCAGGCAGAGGCAGAGGGAGAAGCAGGCTCCCTGCCGAGCAAGGAGCCCGATGCGGGACTCGATCCCAGGATGCTGGGATCATGACCTGAGCCGAAGGCAGCTGCCCAACCAACTGAGCCACCCAGGCGTCCCACTAGGGCACTAGTTTTGATGAGCACTTATACTCAAGTGAAAAATCACTACATTCTACTCCTGAAACCAATATCACACTAAATGTTAACTAGCTAGAATTTAAATAAAAATCGGGAAAAAAAAAAAAAGCAGTGAGAAAATACCGGAAAGTATCCTTTCTACTGCAGATTAAATCCCTTTTAAAGAGTCACTGGTCAAACAAAAATGTAACAAGACAATTAAGCTGCTAATCACCAGCTAGAATTCTGATCCCAATTCCGACATGGGGGGGGGGTGCCACAGGCAGTGGGCAGGAGGGGTACTTTCTCCACACCACCTAGCTCTTCTAGGTCACCAGCTGAGGTCTAGGTCACAACTCAACTTGATTTTGACATTATCTACCTGGACGAAGATAGTGTCAGAGCCCCCAGGTTAAGGTTCTGGCACACAAGACCGTCCCCTCCCCCACTGCAGATACCAAGTGCAACCCAGCTGTCAGCTGTGCTTCTGACCAACCTGCTATGGATGGGAGGTTCCAATAATCCCCTCCCTTGTGTTCTATTCATTGGCTCCAGCAGCTCCCAGAACTCAAACATTGTACTTACTAGATTACAGGTTTGTTACAAAAGATCTAACTCAGAAACATCCAGCAAGAAGAGAAGCATAGGGCATGGTAAAGGGACAGAATGGGGAGCTTCCGTGCCCTCCCTCAGCGTGCTGCTCCCACACAGATTGCGTGTCCACCCACCTGGAAGCTCTCCAAACTCTGTCCTTTTAGGTTTTTATGGAGGCTTCATTCCACAGGCACGATCGATTAAATTATTGGCCATTGGTGATTGATTCAACCTCCAGCCCCTCTCCCTTCCCCAGAGAACGGGAGCAGGACTGAAAGTTCCAGCCCTCCAACCACAAGGTTGGTTCCCCTGCCAGCCAGCCCCCATCCTTGCTGCAGTAGAAAGGCCACCTCGTTAACATAAAGAAGACACCTTTCTCTCAACAATTAGGAAATTGCAAAAGTTTTAGTGACTCTGAAACTTGGGGACAAAGGCCCAATCTATATTCTTATAATGAATCACAATATCTCAAACACACTAATACCTCGAATTGCATTACAGACTTTATAGGGCTGGAGGGGATATTTGAAATGATTCTCTCTCTCACCTCCTCAGCGGATGAGAAGAACTGAGGTCAAGAGTGAAATGAACTTGGCAAGATCACCAGCTGTGGGACAGGGACCAGGATGAACCTGAATACATATCTAGGTAATTGTGAAGTGAATGAGACCCTCCCTTAAAATGACAGGTTATTTCCAGGGCACCTGTGTGGTGCAGCTGGTCATGTGACCGACTCTTGGTTTGGGCTCAGGTCATAATCTTAGGGTTGTGAAACGGAGCCCTGCACTAGGCTCCTCGCTCAGTGGGAGTCTGCTGGAGTTTTTCTCTCCCTCTCCTTCTGCCCTCCCCGCCGTCCTGTGCTCGCTCTCTGCCTCCCTTTCTCTCACTGAGATAAATATATCTAAAAAAAAAAAAAAAAAAGTTATCTCCATTATAAAGCCTTCTCCAGAAGCACACGAGCACTTTACCAAAGTGGTGAAATATTATACATCTTAAAAAAGCCTTATTATACAGAGCTACTTACTCCCTGACCAAACCCAATGTTGGCAAAGTGAGCTGCTAGGTCCTGCTCACTATTTTATTTTTTCCAAATGATTATCAAACACTCAAATAGCTTCTAAACAGGCACCTTGTGTTAGAAGGGCTAGGATAGCAAGGGCACTGGAAAAAGCAGGCAGTTCTACCTTCACCAGTCAAAATAAGTACAGGAAATCACAAAGTGCCTTTTAAAATTCCCTTGAAATTATACTAGATCCCTGGGTTGCATCATCCACCTAACCAAAATTAAGGAGCAAGCTCAATTTCTTCACTTGCCCAGGAAGCTCAGATGCACACCCAAGGAGATCTGGTGTGTCTGCTGTGGGCGGGACACGAACCCAAGCCCTGTACTGCCAGCCAGGCCAGCCAGAGGTGGTTTGTGCCTAGAGGAGCCTACATGCCACACGGGCACCATCGTTAGCCAATTTCAAATCATTCTTTCTGATTCTGTTCTTTTATTATTATTATTATTATGTTACATCAGTCACCATACAGTACATCATTAGTTACTGATGTTGTGTTCCATGACTCATTGTTTGCATACAACACCCAGTGCTCCATGTAATATGCGTCTCCTTAATACCCACCACCGGGCTCATCCATCCCCCCACCCCGCTCCCTCTAAACCCTCAGTTTGATTCCCGGAGTCCATAGTCTTTCATGGTTCATCTCCCATTCTGATTCCCACCTCCCCTTCATTTTCCCCTCCCTTCTCCCCATGTCCCCCATGCTATTCCTTATGCTCCACATATAAGTGAAGCCATATGCTATTCGTCTTTCCCTGTTGGACCTATTTCACTCAGCATAATCTCCTCCAGTCCCATTCCTGTTGATACAAAAGTTGGGTATTCATCCTTTCTGATGGAGGCATAATATTCCATTGTATATATGGACCACATCTTCTTTATCCATTCGTCTGTTGAAGGGCATCTCAGCTCCTTCCATGGTTTGGTGATTGTGGCCATTGCTGCTATGAACATTGGGGTGCACATGGCCCTTCTTTTCACCACATCTGTATCTTTGGGGTAAATACCCAGTAGTGCAATCGCTGGGTCATAGGGTAGCTCTATTTTTAACTTTTCAGATCCTGTACTTATCCACAGCCTTCTGGTCTTAATTTGATTTGCCAAGCAGATTTCCCCTGCTTAAAATAACCAACTTGGTGAAACCTGACAAACATTACTCTGGCCCGGTGGTCAAGGTGAACACCATAAGTGATAAATCACATCAATGGGAAGTACCCTTGATGCAATGTGATGACAATGCACTTTACCCAAACCCACAACCACACACCAGATTCTCATAAAGGGACACCCTACAGTGTATCTGACTAGTACTCCTCCAAACTGTCAAGGTCAACAAAAATAAGAAAACTCTGAGGAGCCCGAGAAGGTAAGTCTATGAAATGCACTGTGGAATCCTGGATGGGATCCTAGAATCAAAAAAGGACATCAGGCAAAAACTAGGGAAATCTGTACATAGCATGGATTTTAGCTAATAAGAAGATATTGATTATGGGCTCATTAATGACGACAACCTATGGTGGTAATGTAACATTACTACGTGAAGAGAAGAAAGGTAAGGAATGTAGTCTTTGTATATGGAAATTCTACACTCTCTTCTCGATTTTTCTGTAAATCTCAACTGTTCTAAAACATAATGTCAATTTTAAAGGAGAGAACTAATTGATGGATTTGAATCCATTGGACATCTTGGAAGCTCAGTCACCTACCTTACTCTTAGGTGATAACATTGGGGAAAAAAAAAAAAACAAAAAAAACACAACAAACAACCAAGTTCCTTACCTTTCGCTGAGGCTTCTCCACAACTGTGCACCTGTAACAAGGACAGGCCAAAAGCAAGGCATTAACGGAGGTTTTTTTCTTTTGAGGCATTTCTCAACTTAGAAATATTCCGAGCTATTTAACATGAAATGCTTAGGGGCGCCTGGGTGGCTCAGTCGGTTAAATGCCTGCCTTCATCTCAGGTCATGATCCCAGGGTCCTGGGATTGAGTCCCGCATGGGTCTCCTTTCCCTTTCCTTCTGCCTCTCCCCCAGGCTCGTATTTGTGCACACACACACACTCTCTCTCTCTCAAATAAATAAAATCTAAAAAAAGAAAAAATGCTGAGCTATTTAAACGCTAGGAATTATCAAACCATTCAGTGGATACTTTGGCACCATAGATAATGCAGTGGTTAGGCCATGAATATTTGAGATCCTGTTACACGCAAAACACTCAGATAGGTGCCGGGAGAGACAGGACCCTCCATCACACGTGGCCCTGCTTCGGGGACTCGACTGTTCAGTGGGGCAGTCCTGGCAAACTCTCAAGTCCACGTGAACTGGGGCAGGTGGTGTAGGAACTACCCAAAAAAGCCCAAACCATGAGAGTTGAGGGAAGAGAGAAAATCAGGCTGCTCAGGGAAGTACCCATAACCAAGTCAGCATTTCAGGTGGGCTTTAAAACGGTACAGACAAAAGAATTAAGACAGCTGCTACTTGAGAAAGGAGATTTTTGTCTATTCATTCTTTAGGGATTTTGAGCTTATATCTAGGCTCAAATGAAATCAAGAGAAAAAAATGTATACTTAGATAAAGCATCTGCTTTCTTGACTGGCTGGCTTTTTCATCGTGCTATATCTTACTATTATGCCCCAGCTACCCGCCTTAATGAGGTGCAGTATTAGAAATGGCCTCGAGGTGGTTTCCGCATTTTTGCATGAAATGAATGCCAACGATCGGTGTCCGTCTTGTTCTGCAGCATCCCCTAGCAAAGATCTATGCAATAAATTCCTAAAATTGAGTCCCAGGGGAAAAAAAAAGTGTTTTCTCAAAATTGTTTGCATTCTTTTATCAGACTACTAGAAGAACTGTTCAGTTGGTCCAGCCTCCCTTTTTGCCTTGGCTGTCGGTAAGCCCGGGGGTGGATCTGTCGCTCAATTACAGTCACCATATTAGAATCCTGTTCCTCTACTACACCTTTTTAAAAGAGTCTGATTTTTTTAAGATCCCTATAAGCTTTGGGGTTAGATGGTATATATTTGGGGTTAGATGACATGTCAAACAAAGCACTAATCAATTCAAAAGAATCCAAGGAATTCTGAACTCCGGTGAGCCTCGAGCTGACGTTGAGGAGTGGGATAAAGTCAAGCATGAACAACCCACCCCTCATAGGACATTTCTCAGCTAACACTGGCTCCAAGAGTGAGAAAGCAGGTGACACTGCGGGGTGTTAGCTGGTTCAGTCTGTCATTAAAAGTGAGGAAAAGGAGTATGGTTGCTGGCTAAGGGGACAAGGACATTGACAACGGCAAGGGCAGGAGCACCGCGGTCACGGAGCACAGAGCAGGCTGGGGCCGTGCGGGACTGGGGCGCAGCACAGGGGGAAGAGGCTGAGCCGGACAGCATTTGCGCTGAAAGCTGCGAGCGAGTTCCTGGGGAGCAAGGGGGTGGCAGAACAGGGCTTAAACAGGCAGTGCGGGTTTCCCTGGAGGAGGGGATGAAGAGACAGAGGGGGAAACGCTCCACAGGTGGCCTCGTGGGGACCCGCTGAGCCCTCCTCCCGCCTCACAGGGTGGTACTGGAAAGGATATTAAAGGAAGCCAGTGGTGGAAGTTCTGGGCTCTTCTGTAATGAGAGAGAAGAAGGAGGCAATCGAGGACCAGCCTAGGGCTGCAGAGAAGTTCCCCAGGACGTTGAGGAAGAGGAAGCGAGCCCTCAAGGCAGGTACCAGGAAGACGGAGCGAGAAAGCCACCACAGCTGGAGGCCCCTCACGCTGCTTCTGGTAGGTTCCACAAAGACTAATGCACCTGAAAGGATCGCCACTCTTGGGCTCACCTACGTCCTAGGGAGCATCTAAGATGGCATTAAAGATAACGATGTGGGGGGCGTCTCGGGGGCTCAGTCGGTGAAGTGCCTGCCTTTGGCTCAGGTTGTGATCTCGGGGTCCTGGGATTCCGCACAGCGGGGCCCTGGGCTGGCAAGTCCGCAGAGGCGGCTCTGGCCAGCTCCGCGAGGGGCTCAAATGGGCCTTTGCCTACAATTACTCCACCGAAGGAGGCCTGGGAGCCCCCTGTTCCTCCGGCCCCAGGCTGGGGGGTGCTGGGAAAGCACAGCCCCAAGTCCCAGTTCTCCTGGTGGTTTCCGGTTCTTCTTGGGGCAGGAGCAATGCTGTCTTCAGAGCAAGGCCACTGTTAAAACCCTGATGGAAAGCTTGGCCCGGGCCACAGGACGGCCCTGCAGGATGGGGCACGAGCACTCCCTGGGCCAGGGAGCCAGGGGTGGGTCCAGAAGGCAATAGAAGCTCTGCATTGAGGTGGGCTGCGCACAGAAAGGCGCCCCACACAGACTGCCCGAGGAGTGAGCAAACCTGCATTACCCGTGTTGTTCAGGCTCTGCACCAGCGCTGAACCGCGCGAACAGTCACAGCGCCCGAGCCACTTCTGTTCCATGCTCTTGTGCGACCCTCACACAACTGTGTGGTTGTGGGTTGTTGGTCTCTGCCGTTTCACGGGATAAGGTGACTGAGTGACTGTGGGCCTTTCTGCCCGGAACCCTGCAAAATCCTATTTTCTATGGAAAAAGGGAAGTACCATGTGGGATTCAGTCAAGGATCAGGAGATGGGATGACTGTCCTGGGTCATCCAGGTGGGCCCCAAATGTGATCACAAGTATCCCTGCAAGAGGGAGGCGGAGGGAGGTCTGGTGAGGACGGAAGAGGAGAGGGGGCCGTGAGCACTGAGGCAGGGAGTCGACTGACGAGGCTGTAACCACCCGAGGCTGGGAGAGGCAAGGAAAGCTTCCCTAGAGCCTCAGGAAGGGATGCAGCCCTGCCAGCGGCTTGATTTTGGCTCCACACTACTGATTTTGCACGAGGGGCCTCCAGAAGAGTGAGAGACAAGACTTCCATTGTTCCGAGCCACACGCTGATGAGGATTTGTTACCGTAGCCCCAGGACACTGACACAGCCCATGACAGGTGCCCTCCGTGCTGGAAAGTGGCGTGAATGAGCTCAAGGCTAGACCCTTCAGGCTCGTATTCTCCCAACTCTCCCACCTTAGTCTGGTAAAGGACTGAACCTTTGTAAGCAGAGGGGTCCTGCCCTTTAGGAACATGGAAGTCCCATGTTCCCAAGAACATCAAGCCAACGAGTCAAGGCTGAGAACGAACTCTGCGTGAGCGGCCAGGAGCAAGAACAGAGCAGTTGCAAGGTTTTCCTGCTCTGTCCTCGCCTTCCATGCTTGCCTGCTCCTTGCAACGTGCGCCCAGATGGGACCCGGTTTGATGCAGCACGGGCACCACGGATAGGCTCATCACCAATGGCTGCTGGCAGAATTTTTAAGCAGTCCTTTTCTTCTAGGATTCCCCTGAGGAAGGCCCTGGAGGGTGAAGACATTACGAAGTCTAGTGGAGAACAATGGGCTCTCCTCTATCCATCAGGACGGAACCAGGGCGACAACGCACGGGGACTGGACTGGCTCTGGGCAAAATGCCACGGCGTGAGAGCCTTCCCCTCCAGGCAGCCTTACTACATCTGGGGTGAACAGAAAATCGCGGGGCGGGTGCCCAAGAGAGTTAAGAATAAGGGAGTGGGTGGGGCGCCAGGGTGGCTCAGTCCGTTAAGCATCTGACTCTTGATTTTGGCTCAAGTCATGATCTCAGGGTCCTGGGATCGAGCCCTGCATTGGGATCCAGCTCAGAGGGGAGGCTACTTGAGGATTTTCCCTCTCCCTCTGACTCCCCCACAACCCATTCGCATTCTCTGTCTCTCTTTCTCTCAAATAAATAAATCTTAAAAATAAAAGTTAGGGAGCTGGGTGACCGTTCTCTGAAACAGAAAATGGTGGGGCAGGGGAGGGGACAGAGGGAACAACGCATCCAAGAGCACGATCTTCATCGAGAGATTCATGAGAAGCAGTCACTGCACACAAACGCATCGGTGGGAGGTCTCCTAACCAAACCTCCCGTTTCATGCTGCCCCCTTTCAGGAGATTGACTTCCCCACATAAATTTTTCAAATTAACAAGTTTTTTTGTCACCTTCCCAGATCACTGGAATGAAGAAATTCCCTCCAAACCTTGAAACGTGGCGATGTAAAACCATCTTTCTTAAAAATGGTTTTGCACATGGTTTGTTCTAAGAACTGTAAAGACTTAAAAACCAGAGCTCAAGCTCACTGTAGAACATGAGGATGGTAAGTCAGAAACAGCTTCTGTCCGTGGCCTCAGGGTTGGCCTTAGGGAGAACAAGGTACCTCCCGTGAGACAGGCCCCGGGATCCCTGCCAGGGTAAGAACTTGAGGAAGACCCCTGTGGGTCGTGTGGGGGTTACACTTAATGAAATCAAATGTCTCACTGTAACCTCCTCCTCTTCCCTGTTTTTGATCAAATCTATCTTATCACATTTAGGTTCTTAGGGCTCAAATATTCCAAGGAGGCCATTTTGCTCATTCATGAAAACTAACTCAGAGGTTGGTAGAAGAGGCCTCTCCAAGTGCAGAAAAGCTTGACTCTGATTTCTAATACAAATTACTCAGAAAGCACCTGAAGCAAATTTCAAAAGTTATTCAATTTCTCACCTCTAAACAATGTTGAAAATTAGTTCATTTTTCACCATTGTGAACTCATTTGTTAAAATGTACACAACTGGGGCGCCTGGGTGGCTCAGTGGGTTAAGCCGCTGCCTTTGGCTCAGGTCATGATCTCAGGGTCCTGGGATCGAGTCCCGCATCGGGTTCTCTGCTCGGCAGGGAGCCTGCTTCCCTCTCTCTCTCTCTCTCTCTGCCTGCCTCTCTGTCTACTTGTGATTTCTCTCTGTCAAAGAAATAAATAAAATCTTAAAAAAAAATAAAAATAAAAATAAAATGTACACAACTATTAGTTGTTCTTTGGTTTTTGTTTTTAAGTCATCTCTACCCCCAACTTTGGGCTTGAACTCATGACCCTGAGATCAAGAATCATACCTCCACTGACTGAGCCCCAACTAGTAAGCCCTGAATTGTTCTTTCTTCATTGAGGCAGAGAAAGTTTTTACATAAACGAGACCATCTTCCAGTGGTCCAAGTTTCATCATGTGGGTTGTAATAAATATTTCAGGGTTATCCTCATTGCAGCCTACTCACATATCAAAATGATATTTAAGAAGCGCTTAGAGCCAGAGAAACTAGCACACACAAGCCTTTTTGCCCAGGAGCAGTAATCATGACTAGGGACAACATCAGGTAAATAATTAATAAGCAATAAATATTTACCAAATCAATGTATATTCAATAAACAATAATATCAAAGTCAGTGCCTACATAACCTGTTACTTTGTTCCCTTTTAAAACTACTTGGTTAACATGCCTACACAAAGATCAGACACTCAGGGTCCAGAAAATTACATCCTGTAAAAATGAATTCTCAGTTTTCTTACCTCTAGCTCTAGACAAAACCATATCCTTTATTATTTGCATGATAACACGCCCAAGTATCATGACAGAAATCAGGTGATACACTCTCCATGGCGTCAGTGCAAGGAACCTATAACAGCAAAAACAGACAAATCATTATTTCAACTGGAGGATTTTTATCCTTTTTTAAAAATTAGGTTTACTGGGACGCCTGGGTGGCTCAGTTGGTTGGACGACTGCCTTCGGCTCAGATCATGATCCTGGAGTCCCGGGATCGAGTCCCGCATTGGGCTCCCAGATCCATGGGGAGTCTGCTTCTCCCTCTGACCTTCTCCTCGCTCATGCTCTCTCTCACTGTCTCTCTCTCTCAAATAAATAAATAAAATCTTAAAAAAAAATTAAGTTTACTTCAGGGGTACCTGGGTAGCTCAGTCAGTTATGCATCTGCCTTCGGCTGGGGTCCTGATCCCAGGCTCCTGGGATCATCCCTGCACGTCTGGCCGCCCAACTCCCCCGCCCCATACTTGCCCCATGCCCCACCACCACCCTCCCTCCTGGTCAGGCTCCCCGCTCAGTGGGGAGTCTGCTTCTCCCCTGCCCCTACTCCGACTCTCCCATTCTCCTTCACACACCCTCTTTCAAATGAAGAAAAAAAACAATTGGGTTTAGTTTCACCATAGAAACAACAATCCCAATTTCAGTTTTCAGAATCACTCCAATGAGACCACATCAAAGTTATGTCACGGGCATCCAAGTCAGCAAAACAAAAAGTGCTTGAGCCACGTCCGCTTTTGTGCTAGGCTTTCTGCTCTAACCTCTAATTTGGACAGAGGATTTGCTCTGTGGGGTGTGGCCCAGCTATCACTCTGCTAGCAGACGGAGGACGGAACTGACTTGCAACCGAATCACGAGGCCCCAGAAAGGTAGAGCTGCAGGGTTTTCCGACATGCGGAGAAGCTACTGCAGATGTCCCACACTTGCTGTCCTCTGTGTTCTGCTTTATGCCCCATTCGTTTATTTAACTACTACCCCCTTCCTCCAGGCTCTCAAAAACAGCAATTAAGGATTCAAGGTGCTTGCTTCTTCCTTAAAATTACTATTGGTCTATCTGGCCCCAGAGGGAAACAAAGAATTCTTTATCAAGAACAGCATACGAACACGGCAGCACATTTTTATAATCGGGCCAATAAAGAAATGGAACGGCTATTCAGTCACAAGCTCTAAGGCTTCGTGCAGAGGTGAAGCCTGCTCTATACCGGTTAATTGGCCAAACTGCCCATTAATATTAATTTTGATATAATCACAGAAACACTGACTTAACATGCTTGTCATTTAAAACTAGTTGCAAGGCACTGTAAGCTTTATCGAGAAAAATACATACTACAAAGAATCCTGACTTCCAGGAACTAATTTCCTCACCAGAGAGGAACACCTGTCAAGCTAACAAAATCCAAGACAATGAGTCCTAGGTTCTCTAATAAAACATGAGCAAAGAACAAAGAGAAGCAAAGAAGGGGGAATCATTCACTCACTAATGGGGGAAGATTTTATGGACGCGGCCCTTGAACGTGGCCCGACAGGATGGATGTAATTCGGAGGAAAACAGAGGCTGTTCCAGGTGGAGAATACAACATGTACAGAAGATCAGAGTCAGAGAAGGGGAAGGTGTGCCTGGGGCATGCGGAGTGCTCTGCGGTGCCCCAGCAGAAGGAGGTGGGGTGGGTCAAGGAGAGATTTGGGAGACTGGCAGAGAGAGAAGGTATTGAGGGGACAGGCCGGGAGCACACTGTGGCAGGCCACGAATGATATGCTAGGGCATTTGGGCTCAATATCACCAGCAATAGAGAGAAAGCCAAAGGTATAGGGTAGGAAAATGGAATGACGGGCGATTAAGGAAAATGCCAGAAGGCGACTGAGAGGACGAGGTGGGGCAGTGAGGAAGCATGGAGGTCAGGATCTATTAGAAGATTGTGCGATATGTTTGGTGAGAAGTGGTCCATGGGAGATGCTGGTGGTAACCCAGGTCCAGCTCTGGTTCTAATATTAGCTGTGTGTGACCTGGGTCAGGCAAATGCAGGTAGAATAAGCCCATGTTTCTTCAATCCTGGTCTGCCACAGCCACAGGCTGCTGTCTGGAAAGCTTGTTAAAATGCAAATTCCCAGACTCCAGGTTCCTTCCCCCAGATCCTCTGAAACAGGTGGTCTAATTTTTAGTATTTACATTCAATAAACATTTCTTTGGAAAGTGTCTACTTTGGGCCAGGCACTGCACTACCAAAAGGAAATAAACAGTGAACAAGAAGCACAGAGGGAAGGAGCAGACATACCAGAAAACCCCTAATGTCAACATCTACGCTTTTTAGTAATAATAATTTGTTTTCTGCTCTGGGACTGCTGCTGGCTCTATTCCTTGAGCTCATATAGGTTTGTATTAACCAAGGGTGTTCTGTGGTGTTTGTTTTCTTCTTGCTCGCCTCCTCCTATCAGGCTATTATCGCTGCTTGCTGTTGTCCATGTGTGCCAGTCTCGCTCAGTTCTCCCCAACTGACACTGACCCAGTAGTTTTCAAAATTTTTGATGGTGACCCACAGTAAGACATTCATGTACATCTAAATGCATAAAAATGAAACCAAAGTTTCAAAAATAATATTTATCATTTTTTTTTTTTTAGACAGAGAGCAGGGGCAGAAAGAGAAGGGGAGAGAGAATCTCAGGCAAACTCTGGGCTCAGCATGGCGTCCAATTCATGGCTTGATTTCACAATCCCAAGGTCATGACCAGAGCTGAAACCCAGAGTTGAATGCTTAACAAGCTGCGCCACCCCAAGCACCCCAATTTATTCCTTTTTAAAGATTTTTAAAGTAATCTCTATACCCAACGTGGGGCTTGAACTCACAGTCCTGCAGTCAAGAGTTGCACACTCTTACCAACTGAGCCAGCAGGTGCCCCCAAATAATATTACCTTTATCATTTGTAATGCCTTCTGATGTTTTCCATTCAATTCTATTATATTTCTAAATGCCGACTATAATTCCAAGATGATTCGAGGCTCATAACAGAGCTGCGACTCACAGTTCCACTCACTGCATCAGAAAGTATCTACAGATGTTCAGTCAGCACGGTTTTTAGAGTGACCTGCTTTGCAGAGTCAGGCAAAGCCTTAGGAAAGTTCTCTCAAGTTTAAAGGTCTTCACGTAGCCAGGAAACCAGTTAAACGTCTTTAAAAAAATAAAGAAATGCAAAACCAACCCAAGCAGTGAAGGTCATTAGTTCTTTTCTTTTCTTTTTTTTTTTTTTTAAAGATTTTACCCATTTTATTTGGCAGACAGAGATCACAAATAGGCAGAGAGGCAGGAAGAGAGAGAGAAGAGGAAGCAGGCTCCCCGCTGAGCAGAGAGCCCAACGTGGGGCTCGATCCCAGAACCCCGGGATCATGACCTGAGCCGAAAGCAGAGGCTCTAACCCACTGAGGTGCCTCCATTAGTTATTTTCTTAGTGGAAGTTATGATGTTCCACAAATAGAAAAATCAGGTAATGACAAGATTTTAACCCTCAGCCCTGGCTGCTGGAAGACTCTACTTGGAGGGAATTGACTGCCATAGCAACTCAAGTTAGGGGTCCAGGGCAAGGGTCCGGGGGCATTTTGGCTAAGTGTCCATTGGTCATTAAGAATCCTCAATCATAAAGACTGGACTGTTTAATCAATGATGCTGTGATCATTTGTAAACCATCTGGAAGAAAGGAAAGTTGTGTATCTATCTCCGAACACATTGAGGTGAAAGAGAAAGGAATAATAAAACTTTGCAACCAGTCAGCACATGTCCCCAAAGGGCCAGATAGAACAGATTTTCAGCTTCATGGGTCCTATGGTCTGTCACGACTGGCAACTGTCACCACGTGAAAGCAGCATCATATTATATAAAAGAATGGGTCTGTTGGTGGGAATGCAAGCTGGTGCAACCACTCTGGAAAACAGCTGAAAATAGAGCTACCCTATGACCCAGAAATCATACTACTGAGTATTTACCCTAAAGATACAAATGTAGTGATCGGAAGGGGCCCGTGCACCCGCATGTTTATAGCATCAATGTCCACAATAGCCAAACTATGGAAAGAGCCTAGATGTCCATCAACAGATGAATGGATAAAGAAGATGTGGTATATATATATACACAATGGAATACTATGCAGCCATCAAAAGAAATGAAGTCTTGCCATTCGGAGTGACGTGGATGGAACTAGAGGGTATTACGCTAAGCAAAATAAGTCAGTCAGAAAAAGACATTTATCATACGATCTCCCTGATATGAGGAATTTGAGAGGCAGGGAAGGGGGTTATGGGGGGAAGGGAGGGAAAAATGAAACAACATGGCACTGGGGAGGGAGACAAACCATAAGAGACTCTTAATCTCAGGAAACAAACTGAGGGTTGCTGGGGAGGGGGCGATAGGGTGGTTGGGTGATGGACACTGGGGAGGGTATGTGCAATGGTGAGTGCTGTGAAATGTGTAAGCCTGATGATTCACAGACCTGTACCCATGGGACAAATAATTCATTATATGTTAATAAAAAAATTTTTTTAAAGATAAAAGAATGGGTTTGGTTGTGTTTCAATAAACTTCATTTACCAACACACACACACACACACACACACACACACACATACGCACATACACACACACACACACAAATCCTCAGTCAGGTGCAAAGGCGATCCCAACAAATTCTGGGGAAGGAATGCTGTAACTGTATGGAATTCCATGATTGTCACCCTGGTAAGTTAACATTCTCGACTCCAAGACTGAAGTACAGAAATGTCTGCGAAACAAATTCCTAATAGTAATCTTTCGTACTCAGAAAAACCTATGCATATTTGGTATTTTAATTATTTATACTGTTTAAGATGGTTCATCTCATGGTTCCAATTTAAAGTACGTGGCTGTACAGACTTGTGATTTGAAATTAAAATCTTAGAAACACATGAGTATAATTTATTCATTTTCCAGGAATTGCCTAATATTTGGGAAAGCTTGGGTTGTTGCAGTTATCTCTTGAAAGTGTTACTTTGGTAAATTTCAAGCAGGTTAAGAGAGACCAAAGTATAACAAAGAAGTCGCAACAATTTTGCAT